GCCATGGTTAACGTTTCGAACGGCATCTGCCTAGACAGACCGAACACCCGCAGTTATAGTAGCTGTTCGCCGAGTGGGCAAGAGATTTCAGAGAATTTATGGTACTGTAATTTAAATTTGAAAAATTGGACCCGTTACACTTGCATTACATGGGAAAACGAGTTGTATCTCACTGCACTGTCGCTAATAGCGCAGGAAGACTGGAAATATCTTTGCATGACACCTGAGTTATCGACAGGAAGGCATGAACTATAGTTCAAGTAAAGCCAGTGAGGAGCGGGCGGTTACAATTCGGACGCACCTGTGCTCACCTCTTGACGTGAGATGCGCTTGTGCTGTAACGGGACAGTCGGCGAGTTGTTTGTACATATGGCTGCAAGGGACTTCGTGACCACTGCACTTGAGATCTGCATACTTGGAGGCACCAACACCTGCGCTACTGAAAGTGGATGAGTAGGTCTGCGTAGCTACAGTAAAACATTTCCTATTGTGATCTGACTTCTCAAATCATCCTTATAATTATAATGATTATATTTCCAAGTGAAGTTACCATATTCCCAATGCCCATTTTGGAAAAAATATCATAATTAGCAGACGTAGGCTAAGTGTATTTGTGGGTGTGCTCGTACTCTTGCGAAAGAACTGCACAACTTTCATAAAAACCTACAATGGTCATTTTGCTAGGTACGTCACAGGGTTCTTTAAAAATTCTGTGTCAACCAGCTCCGGTATCAAGTAAGATGTGATAGAATTACGAAACCAGAGGGATATGAAAGTGCTCGTGGACTATTAAGGTTAATGTACCGTGTTTCTCCTGGAACTCATCAGAACAGTCGGTATTCGAAACGAGAAATTCTCTAATTTCAGTCAGCAATGTTAGCATCCAACTTATTCGGCGATTGAAGGCAAGAGAAATGTACAGGCATCCAGTTAAGAAACCCGAAAGTGTGGACAACGAAAGAGTGTTACATGAACTACGAACAATCCCATCTTCTGAACTTTGTGATCTCAGAAACGTACTCGTATACACTGGAGTGTTGTACATTTACCAGGGAAGATATGCGGGAATCCTACATTAAATGTCCTGCCATCCAAAATCAAAGCTGGTTGGTCATCTCGAAGCGCTCGAATTCCATCAACGGCAAAATAAACAAGTAGGCTCAAAGGGTTTTGACGATGGTGCGTAACACTCAGGATTACTGGGGATTTTGGACTTCGCCAACCATCCGATATTCTAGAGAGCACAGCGTCTCAGAAACTGGAACAGTTTTCGGAACGTCGTGTTTTTACAATACCGAAAGATTGACGAAGTAACCCCCAATGAAATATAAACATCTATGCCTTAGGGCAAGATTATTTTCTTCTTTTGTGATGAGAAGTGGAGGCCTTTCACCGCCTGAGTGCTACAAAAGTCCGCTTTATAAATTCAATTCCAGAATGAACACTTATATAAAACGCAGAAAAATAATTATAAATTCTAGTGTTAGAAATGAACTATAATGCATATCCCCCTTTATTTCACAACAGATTCTGAAATTAATACTTCTTGCAGCATCAAGTTCCTCTGGATAAGTTCAATGTGTAGGTGGTTAATTAGCTGATAAGACAAAGAGGCGTGGCTTACCTGTCGTGAAGAGAACGATGGCCTTGAGACAGCTGTACTCCGCAGAGTCCACGTGGAGAGCCTTCAGCTTCTCAACCTGTTCTTGGAATATCCTGATGTGATCCATGAATGCTACAACCCTGTCCGCCGCCATAGGCGAGGCATGAAGTCCTGCCGCCGCAAGCAGCGGCGCAACGTGCAGAGGCATGGAGCACTGGGACGCATTCAGCACAAACAGTTCGCTCCACACGAGCCTCAACAGTGCCACTTGATCCGTGACCTGCAGGTCGGGGAAGAAGGGAATGTTCCGCGCCCATTCCACGGCTGAGAACAGCAGTCTCGCTGCCAACTCGCAGATGTTGTCGATACCCATGATATTGTTCGGCTGCATACACTGGCCATATCGGGACGTGGGGTACGGCTCGGCGCGAAGTAACAGCGAGATGTAGCTGGACAGGTACGAGTGGCCGTTGAGGCCTGCGGCAGCTGCTGCTGACGCCGCGTCACCGTTGGTGAGCGCAAATTGGCCCGGAAGACCCGGAGGCTGCGATGGAGGTACCCGCCCTCGTTGGACGGCTGCAGTCATCCAGAACAGAAGGAAGAAAGAAGCGAGTTAGTTGGCGATAAAACAGAGCACAATGAAACTGTATTTGTACGGAGGCTGGCAAGTCAAAATCATCAAGAAAATCGTTGAAACAAACTGCGGACCCACTGCAACAGAAGTACTCTAATGGATTGTAACCTGAATCAGTATGATACAATCTACATCATTCCAACCGGTTTATCAAAGATCCGTTGACGTTTCTTCTCCAGATTTTTTTTTTCCTTGGCACTACAGCCCCAGTGGGCCTAGGCCTACCTCCGTGAACTTCTCCGTTCAACTTCGGTTTTTCTAGATCTTACACATTCGGTAGGACTCCTTGGGCGGGTGATCAGCTCGTCGCAAGGCCTCTACCTGTACACAAACACAGAAAAACGCACACAAACATTCAAGCCCTGAGTGGGATTCGAACCCACGATCCTGTTTTCTGAGCGAGCGAAGACAGTGTACGCCTTAGACCGCTCGGCTACCGTGACCGGCCTTCTCCAGAATTACTGCGCATAAATCTTGCGCGTGTCTTTGGCCTGCCTATCTAAATACAGCTTAATACTCGTCTGATGAATGTACATAACAAGTAAAAGCTGAAGTTCATCGTAACACCAACCTGCTTTTTCTCTCTCTCAAACAAACTCATTCTCCTTCAAATAAATGTATCTACTTTCGTACCGAATAGGATAAATCATCCACATATTATGTATCTACAAATTAATTCCTCATACCTAGCCATAAAGCGGAAAGTAGTGACAGAAACGAAGTAACAGAAATATATACTGAAATTATAGAAAATTACAATGAATAGGAGATGTCTTAGACTCTAAGAGATCACTTGAACTTAGTTAATACTGACCATAATAAAGTAGACTGCAGAATGTCTCGAATTTGGACGCGCAAGGAGAGTTTCTCTCTCTCCACATAAACACAAGAAAATATGGCGAAACCCGAAACACAACTTAACGCTGAGCGGACATCTGTAAAATTCCCTTACGCATGTCTATGTTGGTCGAGGCATGTAATTCTGTGCTCAACGTTTCTCGAAGAGCGAATTACAGTTCTCAGTTCGGCAAGCCAGCTAACTTCAGTTGGAACTGCAATCCCCAAATCTTAAGCAGCTGGGTGCATTCCCAACTAAGTGGTTTTACTTAAAAGCAAGAAATGCGATATATTTAATTCAGAAGAAATATTTTGCGCACCATTACCTACCTTTCTTCTCTGTTCCGTCCTAGACAGAATCTGTATATCAGCTTTTAGGTTCTGCATTAATTCGTAATTGCACTTTTTACCCCCCTGGCAGTAATCCCTTATACGGGAACAAGTTCTGCAGCACGGAGGAGAATAAAAGGAGCGAACAAAAATTCTGGTCATAATTCCGCTAACCTAGTGATGGAGCACCCAGTCGTCACTAGCTGTAGCGCTGGACAAGTGTATAAGCGCATGGAGGGGAGCGCCCGTCCCGAAAACAGAGACTTTTGCTCAGGAATGAGACAAGGCGACAGGACAGATAATTACAATTCTTCCTTCAGTCATAAAACTAACTTTTATTGTCTCCCACCTCAGAGGTCCTGTATCGGTCACAGAAACACGTGACAGACAGCTTGAGTACCTTTCTGTAAGGTTTTGTTCCATACCTTCATTCTGTCCGATGGTCTAGCTGGTGACATGTCAACGCAACAATAGGTAAAATGTTTATAGCTCGTTGCTAGGCAACAGTAACCGCGCCAATGGACTGACAAGATAGCTATCACATGACTTGTTTGCTGTCTGGTCTGCGCTACGCAACAATAGAACTATGTTTTCTGTGTTGTCCGTGCCGCGGCTACATGAAACGTGTCCGCTTGTAACTAAGGAGAGTCCCTACCCCCTACATTTACTAAATCTAACCGTTACTCAGAAAGAGAACATAAATTACATCTTCCTACAAACACGTATAAAGCCAGTATACTGGTCAGATTAAATAAGATCATGGCCTAAATCTCGGTTATTCCCAGTAAAGAGTTCTATCTCCTGGGATATAACGTGTAGTCCATCGAAAATTAACCGTTGTTTGGGACGAATATCTCGCCTCCATCTTCAGGGTAGAAGAATAAGCCAAGCAAGAAACCAGAGTGAAACAGGTAACAACCAGAATTCTGGTGTTGCACAGTATCAAGAAAGCCCTGTACAAAAGACTTAATCGCTGAAGACAGGAAGACTGTTCAAGAACACGGCTTATGGAGTTAGACCAGACCTGCACTTAATTCATGGCGGGATGAATAAACCCAATATTATTTCCCCTTCTGTGTCATTGCCTCCTAAGTTCGGTGATAAATTTGTTACATAAATTAAATGACCTGATTATAGTTATTTACCGTATGATATGTTTAACTCGAGATTAAGCGAAGAGCGAGTGAAACCGGTAGGCCTGCAGAGGTCAATTTATTTGCAGTCCATTTCTTATATAGTCCACGCATCAAGGCCGTTAGTCAAGCGAACCTGAGGTGGAATCTCCGGTGAGGGGCAAACACCACATAACTGGTCGGCCGTGCAAATAATTTACCGCTGCGGTTGGAATGTCGGAGCTACTCCAAGTTCACTGCCGCCACGGTAATGACTGCGGGTTGCGTACTGGCCCCAGCCCCCCTCCCCAGAAGCGTCACCTCATCGCGATATTTATGCAACCGATATTATGTAAAGGGATAGCAACAGGCCTACTGAACTCATTACAAGATTCTCAACGTCTACTCACGCTTTTGCACGTTAGTCTTGACATCCATTTACTGCGGTAATAAAACTGATGGTTGAAGAAAGCAGGCTTCTGGGATGTGGCGCCGTGTAGATATTGTGTTAACCGACGTTTCGGAGGAAGGTATCGCCTACATCTTCAGGGTACAAGAAAACGAAGAAAATCTACGCTGAAGATGGAGGCGATACGTTCATCCGAAAAGTCGGTTAACACAATATCTACACTGCGCCACATCCCAGAAGACTGCTTTCTTCATAGTCACCGCCGTGAAAACCTCAAATCTTACAAAAGTGATGGTTTTCCATCGGGCATGGCACTGGCGTTTCATTAAGACGTGCTGCTTTTTATTGTCTAAGGGTTAGACGACAAATATTCACATATCAACGGAATTTGTTCTTCGATGTTTATGTACCAATTTCATACTGTTTCTTTAAAAAAATTGAGTTATATTCAATAAAAAGGTCACATGGATCAAAATTAAATCCTTTCATTCTGGACACTGAAACCAAATTTAACCGACATTCGTAGAGTACTTTCAGATGTGTAATATACTGTAACGTGGATGGCCTGTCATCTTGTAAACGGTTTTCCTGCTTCTCTGTTCATGGTGCATCACTTTCAGAATTACTAGACCGACTAGATTAAATTGGAGCGGGAAATAAGAAAATTATCTAATAGAGAGTAGAGAAAGGATATAATACATTATCTTCTTCTTTCCACTTGATTTGTTCTTGTTAATGTGTAATTAGTTGTTTCTTATTCGACGAAGGGCAGTTTCCTTCAGCTAAATCCAATGGAATTTAAAGTGCACAACATTTGTGACAAAAACATAACCACTTATACACTTGGTGTCTTAACTTGCCAGACAGGACGAGCCTTTTAGACGTCGAATGCGAGCTTTTGGAATGTTTCTCTATCCTACAATTCTGGGTCAATCACGCTCCTCTCAGGCGAAACGAACACGTCGTATGGAACGTTGCATATCTGGTCACATAATTTCCTCAACCTATAAGCAATTGGAGAATATATTACCATATTCACAAGAGAGAGCCCTGGTTCAAGCCTTGAGCTAAAAGATTTGCCCACTGATCATTACAAATACTTGAAATGCTAGTTTAAATAGTTGTATTAACCTCCAACTTACACCAAGTCTTAAAATTGGGGTCGACTCAGCCTATAACAGAAATTAATACCGGGATTATTCCTGGGGGGTAAAGGGAGGCCATCGTGTAAGGCTGACCTCACCGCCATCTGTGAGCTGAATGTCTAGAAAATGTGGAAGCCTCGACGTCTCACAACCTTATGGGTCTCCACAGCCTGTTACAAGGATAGCTTTATCTTTTCATAGCTTGACGATATTTGGTGAAGAGTTGCCTTTCGTTTCCATAGCGGAAAATCATTGCCAACCGAAGTGGACTTTGTATTCGTAGTGTTAAGTAACAGCTGCTATTTTAAGGGTAACGTTATTTACATTGAATGAAGAGTAGGAAATGGGCGAGAAAGAGACGAGCAGAGTGAAGAATGAAGGAAGAACGTAACTCAGCCGATAGTGCAGACTCCTGTCACGCTTGCAGTCTCCTACAGCACGTAACCGTACTAACCAACGGTTAGCATTTTTGCGCTACCTTCACTTGGTTCAGAGCTCCACCGTACACATGGCATTTTGCCTGATAAGTGTGTCTCGGGATTGTACAGTTTATTTACGAGAAAAACACTTTCTAACTTCATGTGCTGTACTCGTATGGCGTCGAATGGATTCCAAGTTGAAGCGTCTTGCGCCTAAAGTTGCTCGAGAAACCACGAGGCGTCCCAACAGGACAGCCAATCTCCTATCGAAAATCAAACACGGAACATAATGAACTCTGCATTAGTTTTCTGCACCTGAATAAAGCCTGATATACAATTCAAAAGGTGCCGGTATCTCCAAGTGACGGATTATGGTTAGTCAGCCTGTCAGATTCCTCAACTACGGTTAAAGGTGGCTGAATTTTTAGTTGGGCGCCAGTGTACCCACGTCGAGACTAGTCAGAAGTGTCCCTCAGAAGCATGTCATGTTCAGACAACAGATGCAGGTTTCAGTCTATGAAAATTCCCAATGTGGACAATTGTTTGTTACTGTCACGGCGATGTGGTGCACACTCTTCCAATGAGATCTGCTGTCCTGACACAAGGTGTATGAACCACGCAAGTGGTAGAGAATCGTTATGGACGGAAGGAGCCATGGCCTACAGTACTGTCACGATTTAAGATGTGACT